TATATATATATATATATATATATATATATATATATATATATATATATTACATATATATATAAAAAATGATGGGTGAGCTCTTGGAAACTACACTTCTAGGTATAATATCTAAACTGTGCCTACCTAAATCTTATACTTGTTCACAAACATAATGCTAAGCAAAGATGATAATGATTGTATGTTGAAGTTATTAAGTCCAAGTTTTCACATTATTCATAGATTCTTTTTATAAAAGAAAAGTTCATCACACTCATACTATATCTCAGATGGTTAAATAATCCATTAATAAGGGTGAAGAGAAGTGCAAAACTATAGTGATGCAAGAGTACTCCGTGCATTTACATAGAAACAGAAATATATACATACATGCGCACACAGATTGTTCTTCAATCACTGTAATTGCTGAAATTCTTTACTGGGTTGCCTTATTTTCTTCAGTAAATCTTAATGTGAGTTGTTGGATTTCTTGTGAAAATTTATGGCTTCAACCACATAGCCTGATACTTCTATTTACAGAGTAAAGATCACATTTCATTTGTGATAATTTATAGATATTCCTTGTATTCAATTGCGGCCTTCATGATCTTTCACTGACCATCACCTTTGAATTGTTCTTTTTTGTTTTCTACGGTAAAAATCATGGTAATTGTACTTTTACTCATAGGACCATTTTTAACATATAACTCAGGTGATAAAGCTACAACATTAACAGCATGATCCATTCTTTCTCCATTCCAGCTGCAGCATCACTTAATAAATATGAGTGTGTTATCTTGTATAATTATTTGCATTCATCTACACTAAAAACAAATTTAAATTGCTTGTTTGTTTATATTGTTTATCAAATACTGAAAGGAAATTCATTGAATTCCAAACTTTTTTGTAAAGTTGATGCTACTTAATAAAATGTGTTAAAGTTAGTAAAAATTGTGAAATGTATTTAAAACATTTTCTTATGTACATTAGAAATTGGATCAAGATCTCAATGAAGTGAAAGCTCGTGTTGAAGAATTGGACAGAAAATATTATGAAGTCAAAAACAAAAAAGATGAGCTACAAAGTGAAAGAAAGTTAGTAATTTATTGAAGCTTTACATTCTTACTTAGGTTTGTATGAATATGCATGGGTAAATTTCCCTATTTTAAATATATATTCTTATGAAGATTTCATCTTAGGGTGCTTAGCGTGAGCATCTAGAGTAGGACTGTCAGACTCGCGGCCTGTGAGCCAGATGTGTCACGCGCTAGCCACACCCAAGCCTGGTTTAGCAAAGGGGGGGAAAATCCTGATACGTCACGAGACGCAACCTTGACGCAGCAAATTTGACACTCCTGATCTAAAGGTTTCCTCCCCAAACCCTTGGATATGATTGTTCTAAAAATTGTTTCAAATTGTAATTAAGTGGGTTGAAAACAATTGCAATAACCATTTAATAAGGTTTAATTAAGCTTACATTTAAATTATATTTAGCTTTTGTCCTTGCACTGTCCATTTTTGAACATGTCCCTCAGCAGGCAACTCAAAGAGCAAACACATCCCTTAGTTTGTGTTTTATTATCCTACTGGTAGACGGAAATAAAATTTCCCATTAAATCTGCAGTTGTGCTATTGTACTGCAGACTAATTTAAGGGATCGCAAGAATTTGTGTAATTCCCATCCTCATGATTCATGCAATGTAATATATTCAAATAATGGTTTCACTGGATACTTGTAATAGCTATGTTGTAATCTATGTATAACATAAAACTGCTCTGGCTTGTCCAGCAGAAGCAGGGAAAAGTTTAATAGCAATCCAACTTTTTTGTATTGGGCGTGCCAAATGAAAAGCTGAAAGTGTCAGAACTGGCCTTAACGTGAATAAAATTGGAAATCTGTAGGCTTGTCCAACCCAAGCAAATTCTGCTAAGAATCTTGCTTTATAGAAAAATACTGCTACTATCCCTTTTGCAACAAATTTGTTCTTACGGTGTTGTGATTCACAGTTTGAGGGCCACTAACCTAATGTGTTTTACCAATTTATTTCTACTATAACGGGATCAAATTAAACTTCTTGAGGTTATACTTTACTTTCCAAAAGCTGAAAATTGTTATAAAAAAATAGAATTAGGTGGTTCACAGAAAATAATTTGGCTGTTTGGGGGAAGAGAAGAATGTTTTGTTATGAGAGAATTCAAATCAAGGTATTCTGTTTTGAAATTCTGCATAGCACATTAATTATTATATTTATAATGCCTTTTTAAAAAGACATTAATTTGGCTATCTCTGAAAATATTTTTCAGTTATTTGTGGAGAGAAGAGAATGCAGAACAGCAAGCTCTTGCTGCAAAGAGAGAGGATTTGGAAAAGAAACAACAACTTCTTAGAGCAGCAACAGGAAAGGTAGATAATGATCATAATTAATGGTGTTTTGCTTAAAGACTTACATTGTAAATCATACAGTTCTTATGCTTTAGGCTTCTTAATATTTTATGGGGCATAGTAGAATGGTAGGAGACTTGAAAGAAAAAAATAAGAATACAGCATTTCAAGCTAAACACTTTAAATAAAGTTACTTTCATGGTTTATCAGAATTTTATTTCTTTTTAAAATAGCACCATACACCAAACATTTATTTAATCTATATAAGTTCCCATAGCAATAGCTTTACAAATTTATTTATTTATATAAATGATGAAGTTACTCTCTATCTTATAATGTGCAGAAAAAACACTACACATTATTACAATTGTACACAGGTACATATAAAATAACAGCAAATCTGAAGACTTATTTTGTTTTCTGCTATAGACAAGATAATTAAGTTTGTGGGGAAGGGTTCTATGAAACATAAAAGGGTTAATGTAGTGGCCCAGCAGGAGCCGTTGGAGCTGCCACCAGACTCCAACAGCAAGGGGCCCTATGAATCGGCTTTGGAGGATGTGGAGGACTCTGGACAGGGTTCCGACTCCGAGCAGGGCACAGAGAGGCTGGGTGGCCACCAGGAGGCGCCTGAGCCTTGGACCAGTGGGGAGGAGACAAGGGAGTGTGATCCGGANGAGAAGGCTCTCCTCCGCGTAGTTGCCAGTCGACACTGACTGGCAGATGGATATATCTGAAAGGGGACTGAGATTGCACTGGAATACAGAAAGAATTAATAAATGAATAAATAGGTTGTCTATAAGACAAATAAGAGTTCATATTTTCATTTATGTGCTATAGTGCATGTAATGATAACATCAGCAATAAACTTGCAAAAATTAATCCCCATATGAATCTCCATGGTTAAATCTTGTTATGTAGATATTGAGAATTGCTATATATTTTTGCCTAGTATTTATTAATATCATGTTATTACTGGTATGTAGGAAATTGAAAGACAAGTCCGTGAACTGAAAACAAAGATTTCAGCTATGAAAGAAGAGAAGGAGCAACTCAGTGCTGAGCGACAAGAACAGATAAAACAAAGGACCAAGTTAGAGCTTAAAGCAAAAGATTTGCAAGATGAACTTGCTGGAAATAGTGAGCAACGGGTAAGAGTCCCATAGTGAAAGAACTTTCTTGAGTTTTTTTTTAATTTCTGCTATTTATCAAAAGAATATCAATTGAAGCACTCATTTTTTCATGTTCTGGAAAAGCTTGCCCAAGGATTACAGTGTTCAGTGTTCAAAATCATTTCCTGAAAATGAATGATAGCTGACAATCCTGACTGCTCTGTTATCAGGATTGTATTAATGTTCCTTTGAACATTTATGCATCAAAAACAGGAAGTTTCTAAACACCTTTCATACTATATGTTAAAATTATTAAAACTATTATTTTTATCATAATGCAAACATGGCTTTACATACTTCTGACTCATGTTACATTTATTTTCAGAAAAGACTGTTGAAGGAGAGACAGAAACTTCTTGAAAAAATTGAAGAAAAGCAGAAAGAATTGGCAGAAACAGAACCCAAGTTCAATAGTGTAAAAGAAAGAGAAGAACGAGGAATTGCCAGGTGTGAAATAGCTAATCTGAAAAAAAATTAGAAACAGCTCTCCATACCCAATGTTTGAGTCTAAAAAACATTAGAATATCTGTTACTTCAAAATGAAGGCAAATACCATTTTTCTTGGTACTTTGTTTTGGAAATTTTCTTTCTTTTTTGAATACAGGTGAAACTCGAAAAATTAGAATATCGTGAAAAAGTTCATTTATTTCAGTAATGCAACTTAAAAGGTGAAACTAATATATGAGATAAGACNAAGTAGCCTGCAGTGCTGCATTTAACCACTGCGCTACCTCGGCTCTTAAACAAATCGTTTATAGTACATGGATTGGTTGTAATAATGTTTATTAGAGATAGCAAAAGTATTGAATATAAGACTTGCACTGATCATTATTAAATGATAGCTATATTCTGTATGGAATAGCCTGATGAACTCTAATTGCATCAAACCACACAATAAAAATATTTGAGAATGAAGACTAATGAAGTTTAAATCGGAAAAATTGAGGGAGGATTGTCTTCCAGGTATCATATTCCCATTTTCACTATAGCAGCATGACTAGTCTGAACAGAATTATAAGCAATAAAATCACATATTAATGTCTCATATTAGTCATCAGTGCATTACCTGTTTACTTTCTATAAAAACTGAAAGAAAATGTTGTTCCTAGATCAATCAGATGGCCACAGCTCCTGATTCTCAGAGATTAAAATTGCTAAGAGAAGTAGCTGGAACTAGAGTATATGATGAACGTAAAGAAGAGAGTATTTCCTTGATGAAGGAGACAGGTAACAATTTTGATCTGAATTTCCATAATTCAGTTTATTGATATTCCACACATTTTTATTTTACTATTTTGGGAGGATTGCAGTTACATAGGTGTCAATGCAGATTCTCAGTCATTCAAGGTTTTGCTTTTCATCCAAGAAGCTTTTTCTTAAAAAGCAAGTGTGCTTTGGTGCACTTAAAAATAGGATTTAAAACAAACTGATATTTTTAACATCTGAAAATTATTTCCCTTGTATTATATTCATATTCATTGCCCCTACATGGAAAAATAACAGTTAAAAACTGGATTTACATATATTTTATAAAGCACTGATGTTAATTGTTCAACCTGGATTAGATTTACAACCATTCATTTAATGATCACGAAATCTTACAATGACACTGAAAAAAAAAGGGATTTATGACTGGTTCTCAGTGTTTATCTGGTCAAAATACAAGTGCTTGGCAATTGGCATGTATTTACATTGGTTGCAGCATCTGGAGGTCACATATTTCCATTTGCGACCTTCCCAGAGGACTTATAACAAGCAAAGTCAATGGGGGACAGTAAGATTTGCTTAATTTGTGTGAATCTCTTAATCATGATAATTTGCTTAAATGACCACACAAAAGTACGGTTGGGTGTGACTCACTTAACAACTGCATTGCTTAGCCAACTCTGGCTCTGAGTCGAGAACTATGTAAACTGCAGCTATTGTCTCAAACAATGCAATGGCTGTGGGATGAACTGTCTAATAGAAACCAAATTAAATAAAACTTTATCTTGGGGAAAATGTTTTTGTTCATAAATATATTTAAGATATATTTAGATTATTTTTCCATACATAGGTAAATTATTATTAAAACACGACCTCACCATTCAGTAAAACATTGAGAACAAAATAGGAATATATGTAGTTCAGTATTGGAATAAAGTATTCCAGGCATATTGCCCTTAAACGGATTCAGTTTGATTGCATTCCATATCAATTGATGTTCCCAGAAAGTATTAAAAGGCTATTAATAACCCTCTTATTTAATTTGTTTCTGAATGACTTTTAAAGAAGGGAAAAGGGAGAAAATAAATGAGCTGTTGAAGTATATTGAAGAGCGATTACATACACTGGAAGAAGAGAAGGAAGAACTAGCGCAATATCAAAAATGGGATAAAATGAGGAGAGCACTGGAATATACCATTTATAATCAGGAACTAAATGAAACCAGAGCTAAACTTGATGAAGTAAGTCACTATTTTGGCTATGTGTTAAAATAAATACCAATTTTCCCTTTCCCCCCATAACTAGTATTATAGTTATACTTTATGCAATATGCATGTATGTATGCAATATGCAAGTAGTAGTAGTATTATATTACCAACAGTATACCAAAGGTTAATTTACTGTATGTTTTCAGCTTTCAGCCAAACGAGAAACAAGTGGAGAAAAATCTAGGCAATTAAGAGATGCACAACAGGATGCTCGAGATAAAATGGAGGTAAAAATTCACATAACATATTCCTAACTGTAAGAAAGGTAAAATATTTTATGTATGGCACTACAGAGATATTTTGAGTATTTGAGTATTTGAAAATTTATTTATAGGCCGCCCTTTTCCCTGGGGGGACTCAGGG